TGGGCTTTTCAGAGGGATTTCGAAAAAACTGTACTTACTGATACAATCGGACACCTCTGATCTAACAGTCAGTGAAAACCATGAAAAGGTGGCACACTCTCTTTAAGGAGAGATGAGGTGATAATCACCGGCGGTTTTACCACCTTTATACGGCCTTGCAGTCACTGTTTTGAGCTGTAGCAGTGCAGTCCCTGCCACCGTTGCAAAGTCCTCCTCCTCTGGGAACCCTTCAGCACCTGCGTGCAGCTGTAAACGGAATGCATGCATTTGCTCTGGAAGCTTTAGTTTTTTGCTGCCATCACGAATGACATCCTACATTAGTGATACAAGGATGAGTATTACATGCTCGACATGCTGATTGCCTGGCTGATACACGGACGGTTATTACATACTGGGTACGGTTGTATATTCGCTTTTCGGAATGCATGCTGGCTTGGACCACATACATGTTAAATTACTCGAGCTTATTGCGCCTCTCATCTTCAAACCATTAGCATAGTTGTTTAATTAATCAATACCGTCAGGAATGTTTCCTCGTAAGTTTGGAGGAGCAGACATCAAACCAGTATTTAAAAACAAAGGCTCGCCATCGGATTATTCCTGCTATCGACCAATAAGCATCCTTTCGGGTGCTCTCAAAAGTCTTCGATAAAGTAGTGTATGAAAATACGTAAGACCATTTCAGCGAAAACTTCTTCTCTCGGACAACCAAAGAGGATACTGGCAGAGCCACAGCACTCAACAGTAGCTATTGTACTTGACGCACAACCTACGCAAATCGCTTGACATGGGACGTAACTCTACGGCAATGCACTTCGACATATCTAGATACTTTGACAAGATATGGCGGAAAGGTCTGTTGCACAAGAGCGAAAGCGAGTTTGGAATCACAAGACGACTTCTAGACTGACTTAAATCGTACTTACAAGACAGACGACAGAGAGCACGGATGCGTAACACTTTTTCGACGACCCAAACCATAAACGCGGGCTGTCCGCAGAGCTCTGTACTCGGACCTTAACTAGCACTCACCTATCTCGACGGACTCTCAAATCGGACACAGAATGATGCTGTTTTCTTCGCTAACGACACCTCTCTACACCCCGCACACAACGGCTGGCTTACGCGCGACCGAACGTTCACTCCAACACGACCTCGACGAAATACACAAACATGGTCGAGAAGGGGCCAACGCATTCAATTTCACAAAAACGATCCAACATACATTCTCATATAAACGCAAACATCTGTCACCAGCGCTTACATTCGGAGGTGACCCAATAATACCAATCCACGCCACACACACACGCGCACACACGCATACGCAAACGCACACACACACACACACACACACACACACACACACACACACACACACACACACACACACACACACACACACCTATACGGGTTTGCGGGGCGAAGTCGGGACCCCATCGAAATGCGGCGAAGCGAGGACCGGTTCGACGCCCCTTTACATTGGTCGCAGGACGATGGGAATAAGTTCATTGATACCCGGGAGACGAGTAGGCTGCGATGGCAAACATATTAAAGGGCTGCGCACGACGGAAACGAACCCGTGTAATGCAGTGAAGTAGGGACCGATTGGCATGACATCACAATGACGTCACGGTTTACACAAACCGCAATGTAGGGACCGGCTCCTATTTTGCTTGGTGTATCCGACGTCTTATAGTTTTTATCATTTAGCGGTGTTATATATATCGATGGCTTAACCTTGCACCCCGTGCCGCGCTGGGGTACTCAGCCAGTTACACCGTCGTCGCGATTCTCTCTGGGGGTTTCCGAATCTGAGTTATACATTCATAGCATTGAACCACCTAGCTTTTGTTATTCATCCAAACCAAAACTGAGAAGCATTGGGAGAAGACAAACGAGGCCCTGGGAGCACTACTATGCTCTGCTTATCGTAAGAAAGAACGGAATTAAAGCTGGCCAATCAATTCGTCACGAGCATCACGCTGAATTTTTTTTCAAACTCAAAATTGGTCGGAAGGCCTGCAGGACAGCACTGCGGATCTCTCGAAGCAATAGCAGTTTTGAATGTTTGCATTGCTTGCGGCAACTTCATGTTCATATGGTTGATCGATTTATATATATATATATATATATATATATATATATATATATTGGCACTGGGGTTATTTTCGTTGGCAATTATTTTTACGTTCTAAATTCATTGCCTACCTTTGAAGCAAGTAATGCTATACTTTCATTCGGTAATTGCTCCAAACTGGTGCTGTTACATGAATAACATGGGAAAATCCCAAACACAGAAAATTAATTCGCTCAGTTTTATTGAAGGTATTCCACAAAACGCTGAGCATTCAGCTGCAGATATATGTACAATACATCCAGCTCAAACACCCCACACGTAACTACATGCCACATCCACGTAAACGCTACGAAGTCAGTTGAAAAGAACGAAGCGGAAACACTTGTCATGATCGATGTGTCATACTGTTCTCATTCATCGTTGTCGCTGCCAGAGTCGGTGCCGGAGTCGCTGCTATCATCGGTTGTTACGACAACCGGTGGGAGATCTTCTAGCAGCCCGTCATTCATCCAGTACTGCTGCTCCAGCCTTTTGACGTGCCCACAGCACTTACTCCAGTCCTCTGGAGAGACAGCTGCAACACCTGCCTCCACCAGCCGTTCCACCTCCTCCATCCGCCCCGTCAAGTTCCCCGTCTTATCGCGCGCTTCATCTGTGCCCACACTAACTCCATGGGGTTCAAGTCGCAGTGGTACGGCGGCAGGCGAACGATCCGATGACCATGATCTCTAGCAAGGTTGTCCAGAAAATATTCCTTCTTCCGGTTCTGGGACTTGACTAGCGCCAGCAGCTCCACCTTCCGCATCTCTTCGTGGATGGTCACACCTGCCTGCTGCAACCACTCCTGGATTTCCGCTTTACGCCAGCTAGAAGTTGGCACTTTTGGGCACAAACGGGAGTGATATCAGGCATTATCTGTGATGATCACAGAGTGCTCGGGCACGTTCGGAAGCAGGCACTCGGCGAACCACTTCCCGTAGCAGTTCTCGTAGCGTAGCAGTCGGCGTGCATCGACGTATGATAGTTGGCGTTCTTGCCATCGGTCCTGAGGTGGAGAAGTGCGCCCGGTATAAATCCTTCTGAAGAGCCGGCATGGACTATGATAAAACGTTCTCCTTTTCCAATGGCGTTCTTCCGTCCGTTAATTTGATTGCCGTCCAGCCACGCCAAGTCCTCCATATCGTACTGATTATACCATGTCTCGTCGGTATAAATGATTTTGCTATCGGGAACTTCTCTACGCAGCCTCCTCATCTCCCGCAAGAACTGGCATCTCGTTGCTGCAATATGAGGTTTCTCGATCAGGATCTCGCACTTGTCGATCCCTCCGTACTTAAATCCGTTCGCGATTAGGTGTTTTCTTGCGGTGGATCTAGACATGGTGACGCCGAGCTGTTTGTGAAGAGCATCCGTGATGGTGTCCAGAGTAACATGTTTTCCATCGATGTACATTTGGTGCACCATTCTCATCATCGCGCAAACATCGAACGGATCTAGATCCACCCTTGGTCTTGCTGCAGCTGGTCGGGATCGGCTTGGAGATTTCAGTCTGGCACCATTCTGGGCTTCACGTTGTATGCGGTAGACTGTAGTCTTCCCAACGCCCGTTACAGCTGCAGTTCTTAATAGTGGACTCTCCCGGACGGCGTCGTCGTCTCCCGCCTTCAACTTCATGTCCCAGTCTTCGACAAAATGTTGATTATATTTTTACAATTGTTTACATTATAAACAATTTCCCTGCTTTGTGCCCCAAGAATCCTTCCAGACGCTAGATTAGATTTTTCATTCATTGGTAAGTAGGTACCAAAACATATCAAAGATATAAAAAGACAATGAAAAATACAAGTAAAACAATATGAAAACTTTTCACCGCGTAAAACATTACCGCAACACCAAAATGACGCCGGTCATGACATCGGTAATTTTTGGGCTACAGGACACTCGAATAATGACCCACGCGCAAAAAACCGTGCAAAATCGTTGGCAACACTTTAATTCCGTTCTTTATTACGATAAACGGAGCACAATAATGTAGTATCGTACGCCGCGCCCAGGGTCATTTTTCTGAAACATTTTCATGTTTCAGTGTGCAGAAAAAATTATACATTCAAAAATGTCAGACAGCGAAACATGTATTTTCCAGTATCGGTGAGCGCGTCAAACGACGCATACTTCACAATACGCTTGCTCCAGAGAAGATGAAGGTATACACGACATGGTCATGTTTACAATGGGTACAGACAACTATGGTATTCAAACAGACATTTTAAATGTCCGTACTACGACTATTTTAAAACGATGTTACGTGCGCGGGGCGTTTGCTCTTTCACATCGCGTGCCGCAGAAGAATGCAATGAACTCTCTTTACTCTGTCATTCAACATTAAAGTTCTACTAACTTAAATGTATTTGGATATCTAGTTTTCAGTGAATATCCCTGAACACCAAAAATGAGCGCTGCTTCATTTATAGCCAGATGATTCAATATTATGTTTCACATTTCATGGTGCTGCAGAAGGTATTGAGAAAACAGCATAACCAACGCAAACTACCTCGCTTCGAAACAAGCGCAGTGCAAATTTAAATTTTTATTTGAATGTTATAGTTATATTGGCCCGTGCTGCGCTCACTTCCATTATTCACATTGAAGCACAAATCCGTGTGGCCCCAGGTATCGAGAAAAACGTGAGCATACTGGTAATATACTGGTATATTACGTAGCGGCTCTCGAGTTCACCAACACAAGACAGCTTATGTCAAGAACTTTTCCACATGCCACCAACGCTTAAGTTGGTCTAGTCTGATCTGAACAATGCAGCTGGTAAAACCTTGAGCACAGGTCAAAGAGCGGCCTCAACGGGTGGCTGCCCTTGACTGTTTGCATATTACTGCAGCATGGTGAAACTAGTCTCACAGATTCAGGCTACGCCTATGTTTTACCACGAGGTTATATGTACAGTACTTCACGTCGGTCCAGGAGCGACGACACAAATCTGGCTCGGCGTGCAAAGCGGCGATGCAATCGGCCATACCGGGACAGGTCAAGTCGCTCATAGACCTGGACATCTGACTTTCAATTGCTTGCATTTCACGAACGGTCCATGAGATCTTTCGTATCTTTCTCTCGGGGACAGGAAGGCGGTTAGTGGAATGTCTAGTGGAAGGTGAGCCCTGATCATCACGTCCACCACTTGCAGGCATCACATCACATTCTGTCTTCTGCCGTTTACGTTTTCCTTTTTCCTCTTCACTTTCTTCCATTTGTCGTTTTGGTCTTTTCGCCTCATTGTCGTAGCTCTCACCCAGGTCTTCAACCACGCTCTTGTCTTCATCACTTGTGCAGGGGTCGAGTTCTTCCAACGCCTTACCAACGTATGCACTGCCAGGCTTGTTCACTGCCAGGAGCAGCTCGCTGACTTAAGCGCCATACACCGTCCGCTCGGGCAAGCGGTAATATTCCCGATGAGCCCTGATGTCATGTCCCATGAACCTCGCGACAACGTCCAGTTCCGTTTCGCTCAAATGCAAAAGTTGTATCATTGTTGCGATATGCTTTCGCATAGATGTAGCTGTCACATTCACAACTTCTGCACGCTCAGCAAACTGAGAAATACACTTGCTCCCACTCAGTGGCCGGGCGTCCTTGGCTGCATCACCAGTGAACACGTACGGGCTGCTTTCATGAATGCCAGAAGCCTCTCTGGAGGCAACCAAAAGGTCAAGGACCTCGGTTATCCTGCCTTTCAGGAGCATTGGGACCTCTCTTCCTCGCTTTCTACGTATCTTTACGTGGCCTAGGGTTGTACATAGTTCGCGTTCGAGCACAGACAAATCATCAGTAATATCCTTATTAACTTTGTAGGTTTTCGCCCGATAATCATCCACCGTCAGTCGTTCTGTTTCACCAGGCCTCCGCCGATTAAACAAGATCAGCGAAGTGAGCGCAGCTTGAGCCAGCTTGCCGTAGTTGAGCAGACTGCTTGTTTCTTGCAAGCTATCCCTCACTTTCTCCATGGCACCCTCTATTTCCAGTTGCAGGCGCAGTACATCGTCATTTTTTGGCAGTTTTTCAACCTTGTTCCACCGCCTCTCATGCAGGGTGCCAAGCGCGCGGCTGGAAACCATCACGTTCCAGTCAGATTCGTACAGTTCCACGAAAGTCGTACCTATACATCTTTTGAAATGTTCCTCCACTGGCAGCAAGGAACTGATTCAAGAACTAAGCTGGTTGAATCAATTTTTGACACTCCTCTAAGCGAGGGGATATACTCCCAATTGGGTCTGAAACTGAGAGCTATGTAAGGGATAGCCTTCGCTTACTGTAATTGGTTATATAGCGACCTGAAGTGGCATGAAACAGTACAACCTTTGCAGGGCAAATATGTTTGTTGACTCCGCTAGCCTTACCTGATAATTGCGTTTCCTCTTCTGTACACGAGTAAAAAAGAATTTCCTCCGTCTCATGGTTCTGGAACACAAAGAACACTGCAATTTCAAGGGACCCTCTGAGTTCCCACCAGACTTGTGCGGTGGCAAAAATCGGGATCTGGGATATGCAAGATGCTACTACAAACCAAAATTTCAAGACACAAGATGCACAGGATCTCATGCAAATACATTCACAGAATCCCAAGGCAATACACATCCTACAGATCCAAGATCCATTAGGATCCCACAGTTGCAGCATATTTAGCAGTGAAAATTGAACAAGCATTTCAGTCACTCCTATCTGGTTCCATACTCATATACAATTATCTTAATGGGTAATATGATATAGTTCCTTTCATTTCTGAAGACGTGTTTTTAAAGCAATACCAGAACAACTAAAATGCAAAAACAAAATACCCCATTTCAGAGGTTTAAAAAAAGAAACACGACCGCGCAGAGACTGATTTTCACAATAAAATGTCAGACATGTGTGTACATGTTAGATAAATCTTGCTAACAAATCAGGCAACTTTGTTCCCTTAAAAGGAAATAGTTCACCCTAAGAAATATTCTTAACACATATTTTAACTTCACCAAAAAAGGTAATTTTTTGAAGGGAGCAAAATCTTTTGGTCCTCTTAGAGAACAGAAAATGATCCAAGTTCCAACACTGTGGCTCATCCAATCAATGCTGAAAGTGGTGGAGAAGCATCAATTTGATTGGCTGATGAGCTAATAGGCTGTTATTCTGCCCAGGATTGGCTAATTATGTAGTGTCTGCTGATGGGCCTATAAGCACAATTTCCCTGCATTCTTTCATGTGAACTTCATTTCAATTTCTGAAGTTCAAAGCTCTTTGGCTGGAAAGTGCTTTCAACCAGAGCAGCAGGGTGGGGGGCTAACACTGTCTACAAGGTGACTATCTCAGTTCTATTCCCCATGTTGAAGGTTAATTAATTTCTTCAAGCTTTCTTACTGGCTCAATAGGAATATGAAATCACACTGTATATGGACACTTGAACCTGTCACAGACTTGATGCTGCAATAGGAAGTAATGTCCACAATGATTGTTAATGATTATGAATTACACAGACAAGGGGCCACAAAGGTGCAGCTAATTTTCGGAATTGACACGGGCACTATTTAGTTGGTTTAATAATGGGAAACTGGTGCATGCAAGGGGGAGGAGGTGATTCTGTCAACACCTGAAGTAATAAACATGAGTCTTTATTTAATAACATGTGTATATTCAAAGACACAGCCATATTCCATTTAAAATACCCACTTGCGGACCCCAAGGGGGACAGTCTGTGCTTTAGAAAAATGACTGAAATTGGTGCAAAATTGGCACATGTTTATGAATAGGAGAAAATTTAAGAAACTTTCAGTGTTTGCATTAGCGGCAAAAGTCCTGGAGAATACCCCACACCCTTCTCTATTTTCAAAGAAAAGTGGGGTTGACAATTACTTTGGGCATTTCTAACCTAACCTCATCTAACAACTCAAACCAAACAATGCACAATCTAACCAAACATGGCACAACATAGCACTGGTTTCCCATATCAGATGGGGTATGGGAAAATAACTTAATAATTGGTTTGCAATCAAAGTGATCATCATAGTAATGTTAAGCATGACAGAATAACATGAGTAACATATTGAAGTTAAAGATAAATCAGAAAAAGGTACACATCTATACCAATACCATTTTAACTTGGCTAGAGGCATATATCACCAAAATCTGAGTTTCCAAAACCATGCAGTATTTATACTGTCCCCCAGACTGCTGATAACCCATAAACAAACTTTTGGATCTGCCTGTGCATGGATTCAATGAGCTTACTATAATCTATGCCTATTGAATTGCAATGACGACAGAAGCTGCGACTAATCGCTTCACAATCAAACTGCTGGCTTGCCACACAACCTACAAAAGAGCCACCTCTTCTATTATATAAACTGTGCGAGCCTCGTTTCTTACAACAAATATGAATCCATACTCACCTAGAGTTTGTCAACCGATTCCTCACTCCACGGATTGCTATTTCTTAATTGCACTTCCTTCCCGTACCGGTCACGATAACGCGGAAGTCGGTTCGTGGGAATAGGGATGGCCTTGAAGGAACGGCACCAGGTAAGGTAACTGATCTGGTACTTACATAATCTGTCTGATAGCAGCACCGGCTAGCGAATGGTTTTTTAACAACCAAGGAACAAAATATGACCTTCTAAATAAAGTTCCTCCGATCTTGATTTAAATTATTATGAAAAAATCGAAGTATGCCATCTTTACAAATGATACTTACAACACAACCAAACATTGCTTTGTCCACCACATGATTACGGCTCCTGATTGGTTGATACTACTGCGTTCAGCCAATTAGCGCGCGCCACACAATGACGTCGCACATTTCCGCGGGAATCTTCCCGTAGCGGCCGGCGGATTTGTGTAAAGCGACGGGTGGTCACGTGGCCAGCGGATAAACACAAGTTGATTAAACCCCACTTCCTGGGGACCGGTCTGAGATTGATAGGAGCGTCGTCTGATGAGTTGAGAAGCATCACCCAATGGTCAACAAAGTGGGGACCGATTTTTCGGTCCCGACTTCGGAACGGTCCCCACTTGGCGTACGTTTAGCGGGCGTTTGTCCCGACTTCGCCGCAAAGACAAGTACACACACACACACACACACACACACACACACACACACACACACACACACACACACACACACACACACACACACACACACACACACACACACACACACACACACACACACACACACACACACACACACACACACACACACACACACACACACACACACACACACACACACACACGCACACACACACACACACACACACACACACACACACACACACACACACACACACACACACACACACACGTTGGCATGACATTTTCCAAAGATCTTTGTTTTCACCAACACATAAACAAAACATGCCAAAAAATGAACAAAACCCTCAGATCTCTGCATCCGATAGCACAGCAGGCCCATTCTCGACCAAACCTACAGTGTACATCAAATATCGTTTTGAGTACCGCGACGCCATTTACGACGGACGCATCGCAATACAAGACACTATCGGACATGAGACACAACAAAACAGTCGTGAAGCTGGTGACCGGGGCACCATTCAGAACACCATCGGATAAACTGCGAGCTGGCTTGACGTGGGATAGACTAACAACGAAGCGACACATACACCGACTGACGCTCTATCATGAGCTCAACAACCTTGGGCAACGTCCACTGAACAATATCACAGCAATCATGCCTAATGCCCGCACTCAAAACACAAACGGAGATGTCATAAATGCGAGCAAGCACACGACAACCACCAGTCGTGCATTATCGTACCACAAATCATTTAATCCAAGAACAAGTACGCAATGGAATGGACTGCACGACACCACACGACACCTCAGCGACTCCGCCTTCAACAGCTTTGCGAGCGACAGCTTTGCTCGATCCACCCCGCTACTACGTGGTGCGATCAAGATGCAGCAAATGTTTTACATGCCAGACTAAGAATGGACATGTCCCACTGGAATTCTCATTTATTTCTTGTTCAAAAAATAGCCTCGTCGGCGCGCTAGTGTGGATACCAAATTGAAAGCATTTGCCATTTCGTGCTCTGTGCCAAAGGTACGTAGAACAATGACACGATCTGTTTGACAGCATATCTCAAACGTTACACATCGCTTGTAGACACAAGTTATCTCCACATCAGCTAAAAACTCTATTACATGGCGCAGATCTCAGCGACGACGATGGTCCAGTGGTGGCTCACCATTTACGAACTTTTCTGCCCAAATCTAGACGATTTATCGACCTTTAGTGCTGTTAGTTATCCTCTCACTTTACTATATGGACGTGATATCCCTGATGAGGCGTGTGATGGCTGATCATCCAGCCTAATTAAGTAGCGGAGTGAGCTCTACTGTGGCGACGGTCACAGTTTAACATTTCTTTGTGTGTGCCTTAGATAAGGTGGTGCGATTTAAGCTTTTGCTTTGCGCCTTTCTGATTTACGCTATCTTTCTATTGCACGTGCTGTTTTAAAATCATGATGATGACGACGATGACGACGACGACGACGACGATGATGATGATGATGATGATGATGCCACTGGTGGTGAAAGCTCCCCTCCCCTCGAAAAAGATCATCGGCTTGATCGATTTGATTTCGAGAGGGCACGGTTTTCTCCGCTATGTTGTTATTCATGGCTTCTTTGATTGAAACAGAAGCCAGAGAAGCAAGGGGAAGATGCTGTTATGTTTGTATTTTGAAGTCAATAGCATTAGCAAACGGTTGTTAAATGGCTGCATGTATTAAACCGACGGTGCTATTAATTATACATTGTTAAAATGGACTTTTACTTAACAGATAAAACCCAGAGGCTTTTCCAGATATTGTTCTGGGTTTTACAGACATTGAGGACAGACAGACCCCGTGAACGTTGGCCTTAGATCGAAATCAAGCATAGGAAATTGCATCAGCATGGCCAACCCACATTCGTCTAGGGACGCTCAGCCTGACGTCCGAGCGATTACTGTAAACACATAAAGCATAATGCTGAATACGCGCGCCCGCAAGCTCAGACTCAAGGGTCATGCGTGGTCGCATGTTCAATTCAAAGGCCATTTTGTCGCAGCGCAGGGTACGTACCGACCGCCGGTCTGGCGACAGGGAGCGAGATCTCCTGGTCGATCCGAAGGTCCTCACATGGATGCATCATGCAGTGGTCCTCTCCCTGATGGGCAAGCTCCCTGACCGGGCAGCTGCAGAGAGACGCAGGGGCCCTCAATGACGCAAAAAGATCTCATATCGCCGGTCTACTAATTGGCACAGGTTTCCCAGTTCGGATGAATTGGCCCTTAGTTTGACTCGGGCCAAGAGTACCCTGAACCCGGGCCTCGAGGCTCTGACTGACACCCCTTCCTCTGACCCCTCCATTGCCTTTTGCGGACCGTCATCACAAGCTCTCATATCGCCTTTCATTGACTGATGCCCCCGGGAAATACCAGAGGCCTTCTGTCATTCGGCGTCCACTAGCTCCTCATGTTCAGGAAGTGTGTTCCTGAATGTCTCGGGATCCTTTACCGACAGAGGACTTCTTGTTAGGCAATGTGGTCTCGTACCTCACGCAGGCCCCCATCGTCAAAGGGGCCGGGACCAGCGTCAGTCGCCGGCCCAAGCTTCGTCCCTACTTGGGAAATGGGCCATCAGGGCTCAGACCGGCACAGAGCCAACTGCGCCATGTCGGTGGTCTCTGACCTGGATGGAGGTTCGCATTTTCTCGGGGTTCTTAATAAGTGCAAGAGGCCATCTGACAGGTATTCGAGGTTATGGCTCTACGGGCCACTCACCTTAATGTAACCCACTGCCGGAACTTTAGGCCTTTCAGCCTTCGAATCGAACCCCAGGTCGTCGTTCCCAAAACGTCCTTCGGGTCTCTCTTTATGTCTCCTCGGACGTTGGCCCTCGCTGACTTGAAGCTTTTTGCTAACGCAGGATCCCCTGTTGGTACTCTAGGCTCCTGGCCGACATAACCGACATAAGGGACCCAACCAATGTAATCGCCAGCCCCTGCCTTCTTCTTCCTTGGTAATTGGGCCCCTGCCAAGCCCCTGCATTTCCAGAATAAAGCGTCTGCCCGGTCGGTCCAGGCCGTCTATCTTGCATTGACAACATTGAGAGAATTCAACGCTTCGAGGCCGGCCATCAAGCTGGTCACGATTCATACCCGGTCACGAATGAGCGGGGTTAGGCAAGTAAATAACATTTAAAGACTAAACACGACATGTGCAGACCATGCTTTGGACGTCTGGAGAATGTGCCGAGTCCAATATATAACGACCGAAGCGCCTCTTCTCCAGACTATTTGGGAAGCATTTTAGCTTATGTTTCGCACGACGATGACTTCGCATCGTATGTTTCGCATTTTGCATGACGTGACTGGCTGTGAATAAGCTTTTGAGTGCTGTGTGACTTGCCTCATTACTTAATGTGATGCGGTCGTTGTTGCTGTTTATTGGTGTTTTCGGGTGCGTCAAGTACATTGCTCATTTTTCGCCAATAACGGTGTTTTTATTTTACTAGTGTAGTGTGAAAGTGGCTTGAAAGTCAACATCTTTTAGGAACAAAAAAAACAACTTTGGACTGAAGAAAGGGAAGTTTGTCACCGAGTACCCTGTATTCAAATAAGACACTTGACTGATAAGCGCCTTTTGTGTTTGATTGTGTCAACCGTCTGTGACATGTGCTGGTCTGTATGGCTCTCTGCCCCGGCGCGAGCGCCTCTATCTGATGTGTGAGTCCATGTGGCCGCCCCGCAGCCGAGGGGCGGACAGGTCTGCCCTCCCGGTGGCCCGGCTGCAGACGGTGTCTTTTCATTGGTGTTCCGGCTACGGCCGGCCGGGCACCGGGCTTAGCGCTTCTCCATCTGGTGGGAACGCATATCGCCGTCAAACCTTTGCACAGTGCAAAGTACAACCGCGATATTACCATTCAATTACTGGTCATTATATGACCATTCTGCGCAGAATGGTTATATTTTGCGTTCAAGCATAACCATTCTGCGTACTGACCGCGCGAGCAACATGGCCGTGGCTATAATTTCACGAACGGAGCTCTGACTCAAATGTTAGAACAAAAGGCAGTCATTCGTGCTAAAGGGAAAGAACTTTAGGCGTTTGAATGCATGCGTACATAAGACTTTTAGCTCTAATGAACAGGAAGACGGCATTATCAGAAGGTACTCACAGGCGGGAAATCGTTTGGCTTGGGAGTGCTAGCACTGCTTTGGTGGGATTTCTTTAGGTGAGCCAGTAGTTTGGTAAACCACGGAGCGCGATTTATTATAGAATATTTAGTTTTTGTCATGTCAGTGGTGGAGCATCTACGTAAACCCATTTATTCACCATGCCAATTTACTTTCTCCACAACTGCATCTGTCACGAATTTAAAATTCTGTTTATGCAGAACGACCGTATTCACACGGTATGCACTCCACATTTTTTTTTACTTTTGCGAACTTAAGTGC